TTAAAAAATATGTCCATTGGTTCAGAAGATATTTTGATAATAAAATGATATATGAAGACACACAGGCAAAACTTTTTATTTACCTTCTAGTTGCACCTGACAAATGCAGTAATCTAAATAACCATGTAGTGCAGATTATATATTGTTAATTAAAAACAACTTAAATGTCTGCATGAAATTTTATTTATTTTAATATTTTTAATATGTATTTCAGAGTCAGTCAGAGTCAGAGTCAGAGTTTTTTTATTGTCATTCGCACCTCATGTGGTACATGTGATGGAGCGAAATTATGTACACAGGGTCCCAGTTACATCCAACAATAAAATGTCTAAGAAAAACAGTAATAACATCTAAGATATGAACTAAGAAAAACATCAACTAAATATACACTAAGCACTCATAACATAATACATTGAACATCAGCACAAACATGAACATGAGTCTGTGAGCAGATGTGCACGCATGAACACATCAACATTGAAACAGATCAGCAGCAACATGAAACAGATCAGCAGCAACATGATATGGTTTTTCACAGTGATTATTCAGTATTTGTTTATATTGTAAAATTATGGCCTGCATGTGTTATAAAAACAAAACATAAGATGAGTAGTTTGAGTCCGGGCAATAAAAAAAGTAAGTCTGCAGTAGAACCTTTACCACTTGACAATGTTTTCTTTAATGACACTTTAATCCTTGGTAGCTCTTAGGGGCAGGAAAAAAATCAGCCACACATTTATTTTTTTTTGTGTTTTTATTTAACAATTTATTTTTGTGCAGTCAATAAATGCATTTTTTTTCCTGACAACGCTTGAAAATCTTTCAATTTTTTTTTGTTCATTTTGTCAGTATGTTTTCAAATGTTCTCATAACATCAGAGTAACTTTATGTGTCATCCTGAGATCATGTAAGTTTGCTGCAAGTCAGCTTCTGTTTTTCCTTATTAAATATACCTTTCTACTTTAAATCCTGAGTTTCTTCTAGTCCTGCCTGTACATGGGTTCTACCACACACCAGAATCTTAACAGAATGCCCAGCCGATGAAGCAGCTGAATGCAGCCCAGTTGATGAGACAACCGAGTCCTGATCAGCTGAAAAAGCAGCTAAGTCACGATCAGCCAAAGAAGCAGCCAAGTCCTGATCAGCCGAGCCTGACTTTGCCGATGAAGCAGCCAAACATAGACCCACCTGACCTCACCCTCCTTGACTAACTGAATTCTTGATCCCCTTGCAGCTCTCCCAGTTCTCATCACTGGTTCGCCGGCAGACAGCCTTTCCAGTGGTTTCTTCGCCAGCATCTACGACCTCTCCACTGGTCTCTTCACCTGCCGTCGTGGTCTCTCCACTGGTCTCTTCACCTGCCGTCGCCTCTCCACTGGTCTCTTCACCTGTCGTCGTGGTCTCTCCACTGGTCTCTTCACCTGCCGTCGCCTCTCCAC